ATATTTTCTGTATTCTTCTTATTTTCTTTTATTTCGGAGCATAAAATAAATTATTATTTTTTCAAACTTTATTTGTAGAGTCTCTATTATATAAGATCCACATACATAAATTTTCATGGCATTTGTCACAGCCACAAAAAATGAAAAATCACCAAAGATGGCAATGTCCAAAACGTTGTCGAGCGCATAGGTCCCGCACGGGGACCCTCCCGGCCGCGTCAGGCAGGATTATGCAGGACCTGTCTCTTATACACATCTAGATGTGTATAAGAGACCCCCACCCCACCCACCCCATAAGCTCGAATGTACAAGACATTCATTTTTCACAACTACCCATCTTCAACTATGCCAAATATCCGCAAAGACACACTATGTTTCACAGCGGCGCAAATTAAACCACCAGTACTTGGCCCAGCTATTGATGCCGAGCCGGGATACCCCCTGCGCGCCAAGTTTTGCCGCCCCGCCGGGGCACCGTTTCGTTTTCATTTTGGCTGGCCTTCCAGCCATTGTGGTTCGGTGCCCCGAAGCCCGCAACTACCGGCGCGTTAACGGGAATCGCCCATGGCCGATAGCTGGGCCAAGTACTGGTGGTTTAGCGACAAGGATCCTGGAAAGCTCAAGCAAGGAGGCTAAGGGGTTCCATTCCGTGGCAATTGGAACGGACTAAGATCGTCGAACAAACAAGTGGAACAAGACTGAAGTCGAAACAGCTGGGAATGGACCACTATCCTAAAAGTCCCAAGGTGCGGGGGGATAAAGTCCCAAGAAGTATACGGTCCCAAACGGAACCAAAAAGTTACAAGGAGGACCAAAGGTCCCAAAGGAGGACCACAAGGTCCCAAAGGGGGACCAAAGGTCCCAAAGGAGGACCACAAGGTCCCAAAGGGGGACCAAAAGTCGCAAAGACACTGAGAAAAGGGGCAAGATGAGGTATCTGAGGAGAACCTAAGTCCCCGAGGGAGACAAGGAGACGGAAGATGTCACAGATTTCCTCTGACAGATGCAGTAAGGTTTGTTTTTTTTTTTGTTTTTCTGTTTGTTTTCAAATTTCATTTAACAAACAAGACACGAGGCCGGGGTCCTCGACATTCCACCACCCGGAAGGTATCTGGAAGCATCATCCATCTTAGCTTATAGCCATAGCTTGTGGGTCTTTCGCTGAGACCCAGCAGCTCCATGGCTGCAACCTACCTCTTCTACTGCTAAGCTACACACATCCTTCTACTAATGTACAAGATAAGAGTAAGATTTAGGTCCTTTGGTGTCTGATTTCCAATTTTTTTCCCAAGTCCTATTTTCAGAAAAAAAGAACAGGATCAGCTGTGTGCTGCGTAAGACAACTCGCTACTCGGGCCCTCCATCTATCAACCTCCAGGTTGATGGGTACCCGCATCCCGCATCAGACCCGGGACTGCTCTATACCCATGGGGGAACTCTTTGGGGCTTTTTTGGCCTCCAGAAAGTCCCAACAAGTCCCATAACCCATGGGGAAAATCTTTGGGACTTTTTGGCCTCCAGAAAGTCCCCAAAAGTCCCATTAACTCCACGGAAGAGGGAATAAACCAAAATGATTATTAGATAACGTGGCCACAGCTGCATCTGAAGGAGACGTTGGCACCCAAGAGGGGGTAAATAACTCCCTCTTGGCTGCTGGAGCAGTTCGTGGAGGCAAGAGGGGGTAAATTCCCCCCTCTTGGCCCCTCTTGGCTGCTGCAGCAGTACATGGGTGCAAGAGGGCGTAAATACCCCCTCCCTATCTCGCAATTTTTGCCTTCTCTCCTGCCTGCTCCACTACGGGGGATGAACATGGTCAGTAAGTTTATCACAGTAGTCCAGTGATCTTTCCGCAGCCAGACGGAATCGAACAGGTGACCTCAGCTATAACAGCCAGATGCCTTTACCACTGCAACGGTGACCCCATGTTCAAAACTGATGCCACCCCAGTCGTGGCATTCACACACACACACACACACACACACACACACACACACACACACACAAATCTTGACACATGCACACAAATACTTCTTTTTTTTTTAATGCAACAATCACCCTGTTTCTACACATCAGCAATAACGCCTCCTTTATCAATCAAGCATATTATACAAACTACGGGCTGCGCACCCATGTCCTCGCGGTAAGTGAATATATCATTGAGCTTATCATTGTAGGCTTTGTAGCCCAGTGATTGCTCCTCAGCCAGAGGGAATCAATCCCACTGGTGACCTTGTTGGCTATAACAGCCAGACCCCTTCAACACTGGGACAATTCAACTAGCGACCTTGACTATAACAACAGCCAGATGCCTTTACCAACACCCCCCCAACAATCGCTCGTGATCCCAACGCACACCATACAGGTTATCAAATCCAGCCCAGCCAAAAAAAAAAAAAAAAAAAAAAAAAAAAATCAGCCCACCCCAGCACCGTTGCAGCAAGAACTTACTCATCAACATGCGACATCATGCTACATCCATGAGATCCTCCGTCCACAGGCAGCATCATCCATGCAGAATCCAAGACCTTCCCCACGTGCGAGCATCCACCCATACACAGGAATCCATCCAGGTGAGCCTCCCCTGGCTGGTTATTGGGCTCGAACAGTGAGCCTCCCCTGACTGGTTAATGGGCGGCAGCAGCAGCCATGCAGAATCCAAGACCCTCCCCACGTGCCAGCATCCACCCATACACCAGAATCCATCCAGGTGAGCCTCCCCTGGCTGGTTATTGGACTCGAGCAGTCCAGGTGAGCCTCCCCTGGCTAGTTATTGGGCTCGAACAGTCCAGGTGAGCCTCCCCTGGCTGGTTAATGGGCTCGAACAGTCCAGGTGAGCCTCCCCTGGCTGGTTAATGGGCTCGAACAGTCCAGGTGAGCCTCCCCTGGCTGGTTAATGGGCTCGTACACTGTCAGTAAGTTGATCATGGTAGCCCAACGATCGGCGATCGTTCCGCAGCCAGAAGTGGCTCGGCTACGCAACAATGTAAATGTACACGCCCGCATTTCAGTCTAGATAAATTTCGACTGACCGAGCATTTTGAATGTATCTGGACAGTGGCCAAGTCGATATACACTTAGAATGTGTTGTGTACTGGAGTGGGGCCAATTCAGTCACGTTAACCGGTTGTGCTTACCTGATCGGGCACTGACGTTTGTGGCCCTGATGAGCTGGCCTGACAATGCATTGACCTACTGGGGTAAGTACTCACATAATTCGACGTCGAGTGGCCAACATTTCTCTTTTTTTTTTTTTTTTCACTCAATAATCTAATCACTACGACTACTACCGTAGTAGTAACTACACATTTTTCCACCGGTTCACAGTCTCGCTCCTGTATTCAGTGCAATTCTCAGGTCAGGTACAGATGCTCTAACCCCGCGTTGTATTCGAGGAAGGCATGCTAGCACTCGATATCCGGCCGAGAGGACCAACATAATGTGATCTGATCAGGTAGCCCCCGTACACAACGCGTTTTATATCAAAAAAATATAATCAGTAGTAATTACTAATTAATAATTAATTAATAATTAATAATTACACATTTTCCCAGCGGGGTTTCACAGTTGTCCCAGGCTGCTGCTCCTCGACTCTCCCGGCCCCTCCCGCTCTCCCCACCTCTCCCCTCCCCCCCTCCCCTCGCCCTTCTACCCTTCTCCTCTCTCCCTCCTCTTGTTCCTCCAGAGTCCTGACCACCCCCTTCCTCCTCCTCCTCCTCCTCCTCCTCCTCCTCTTCTTATTCCTCCTCTTGTGTTCTTACTTCTTCTTCCTCCTCCTCTTTTGTTCTTACACAGTTTTCCAGCGGGGTCCTAAACTTGTCCAAGGCTGCTGCGCTTCGACTCTCCCGCCCCCCCCCCCCCCGCCTCTCTCTCCTCGTCTCCCTCCTCTTCTTCCTTAAGAGTCCTGACCTTCCTCATCCGCCGCCTCCTGCTCCTCCTCTTTTTCTCTCCTCCACTACTGACAAAACGTGTGAGATAAATAGTGTGTATCTTCCACAGAAACGTGGCAAGATACATCCGCCAGAGTTCTTGTCTTTTCCACATTTGGTGAGTGGTGCGGCGAGGCCCTTTCCCCAATCGGCCTCCTCTTAGTGATCTCTTCCTCATCCTTCTCTATCTGTTCTCCTCGTCTTCTTTTTTTATTTTTTCCTACTCCTCTCCCTCCCTCTTGACCAACGCTTACTCACCTCTTCTTCATCTTCATTGACATCAGGATCCCCTCATTTCCTCCTCCTCCTCCTCCTCCTCCTCCTCCTCCTCCTCCTCTTCTGCCTCCTCCTCGGGCTTGCCCCCACTTTCACATCTGTATCCTACTCTTCCTCCTCTTCTCTTCCTTCTCCTCCTCCTCCTCTCATCCTCTTTCTCGTGGTCTTCATCCTTCTCCTCTTCCTCTTCTCCCTCCTCCTCTTCCTCTTCTCCCTCCTCTTCCTCCTCTTCTCCTCCTCCTCTTCCTCCTCCTCCTCCTCCTCCTCCTCCTCGGACTCCGCTTACTCATCGCATCCTCCTCATCTTCTCGTCATCTGCATTCCTTCATCTCCTCTCTTCTTTTTCTCCTTGTCCCCTTGCCCCCCTCCTCCTCCTCCTCCTCCTCCTCCTCCTCCTTCTCCTCTTCCTCCTCCTCTTCCTCCTCCTCTTTCGTCTTCCTCTTCCTCCCCTTCTTCGTCATTCATTTCTGTCCCCTCTCCTCTTCTTCTTCTTCCTTTTTCACTCCTCTTGTTCCACCCCTTTCGTCCCTCCTTTTGACCCCCTCCTCTTCATCTTGCTATTTCATTTTGCCCCCCCCCCTTTTCTTCCCCCCGCGCCCCCCCTCCTCCCTTTCTCCCTCCCCTGCCCTCCCTCCTCTGCCGCCGCTTCTTTTTTTGCGTTTTTCGTCGCTATTACCCTCTCTTGACCCCGAATAGAACGCATCGGCATCCTTCCACTTCCAATACACGACCCACGCTACCGTATCCTCCGAGAGCAGACGAGGTCTGGATTCGGCCACGTGTCCATGCACGATCAACACAACAAGAAAAGACAAAAGCTGGACACGCAAAGCGAAGCACCAGCTGCAGCAGAAAAAAAGAAGAGGAACTGAGTTAGAGTCGTATATGGAATTGAACTCGCGAAGTCATCGGCCACGTGTCCATGCACGAGCAAAGACCCGCCACGTGTCCATGCACAAACACACACCTGCACCGACACTTCCATAGCTCAAACGCGGACGAAGAAGAACAGTATAAACAGCAGCAGCAGCAGCAGCAACAACAGAAGATGAAGAAGACGAAGAAGAAGAAGTGGACAAGAAGAAGAAGAAGAAAAGGAGGAGAAGAACAAGAAGATGAAGAAGAAGAAGAAGAAGAAGAAGAAGAAGAAGAAGAAGAAGAACAGTGTAAGCAGCAGCAGCGGCGGCAAAAGAAGAAGGAGGAGGAGGAGGAGGAGGAGGAGGAGGAGAAAAAAGAAGAAGAAGAAGAAGAAGAAGAAGAAGAAGAAGAGGAGAAAGAGGAGGAGGAGGAGGAGGAAGACGAGGGGAGGGAGAAGAAGAAGAAGTTCCGACGCCCACCATTCATACAACTGTCACCAGGGGGGACTGATTATATCACCTGACGAGGTTACTATTGCAATCATCAGGCAGGTTTTGTGAACTCTAATCGAGCAACACTTCCATTAATTTAGGGCCTCGCTCCACTACTCACCAAATGTGCAAAATGAGAATGAATTTTCCAATAGAACATGGAAAGATGCACCGCCATACTTTTTGTCTTTTGTGCATGTGTTCAGTAGTGGAGCGAGGCCCTTACACGCCCCATAAATTCCCTGCCTTATACACGCACACACACACACACACACACACACAGAGAGAGGGTCGGTTGAACTTCCTTAAAAAAAGTCTGGCACAGTCATAAGGCTTTCTATTGTGGAGTAGCGTCTACCGAACACGACACACACATGCATGCACACACACACGCACGCACACGCACACGCACGGCCGCGCGCGCAGACACACACATACACTTTGATGAGTCGGTGAAAGTTCGACGAACGCTCTGTCGCAATCGCCCTCTGTGTTTACGGGACGAACACACAACGGTCCCGCACGAAGGTGCGGACAGAGGGGGAGGGGGAGGAGGCGGGGGGGCGCGGGGCACACAAGCACACACAAACATGCACACGCGCACAGGCAAAACACAAAAGCACACACAACCTTACAAAAATGCGGAAGCCAAAGGGGAAGCGAACTGGGAGAGCGCGACGATCCCACAGAAAGAGGAGAGAGGGAAGGATGAGTGAGGAGGGGCACAGGGAGAAGAGGGGGGGAGGGGAGGAGGGGCGGAGGCGAGGAGTAGTCATGCTTGCTACGTACCCTTGCTGCGGCACATCACAGGTCGACCTCACGTCTTTTCGGCGCATGCACCCAGCCAAGTCTATTCGCAACAAGTGCCAAGTTCCCGACCCGAACAGACACCCTTGCAGCCACCCAAGGTAACCTCTTCTGCCGTACCGCTTTGCCAGGTGAAACAGAGGGGTAACATAGTGGCCCCCCCCCAACCCACCTAGCTAAGACAACAACTAGGACCACTACAGCCCCCTAAGCACACTGAATCCCTGGATTGGCCATCCGAATAAACTGGACATCAACGGCGTCCACCTGCAGGTCATGTGCTTGACAGCAGGTGGACGCCGTTGATGTCCAGTTTATACGGATGGCCAATCTAGGGATTCAGTGGGCTTAGGGGGCTGTAGTGGTCCTTGTTGTCTTAGCTAGGCGGGTTGGGGGGGGGGGCGCTATGTTATCCCTCTGTCCCTGCACACGCATGCCTGCCTACGGCCAGAGGTAGGTGACCATGTTGTGTGGGATGTGAGGGAAAATGCCGAGGGAGGATGTCCGCCAGAAGGGTCGACGCGATGAGTCCACCTAACCTGATGGTGTAGTGAGTTCACCCACTACACAAGAGAGTCAAGAACAGGACTTCCATCCTCCACCACACACACAGAGGGGATCTATCTTGGACCAGTGCTGCCCGATCGTCAACGATTGGGTGCCTAAGTCCTCCCCGTGTTATGAAGTCCAAGCCGGGGCCCAACCGGTATCCCGATCCCTGCCGAGCCTGAAGCAACCGGGCGGCCGTACAGGCATCATTTCATTTCATTCATGAAAAAAAAGAACAAAAAAAAGAAAAAAAGAAAAGAACAAATGTGATTATTCTTTCATAACAGAAAAGCAAAAGCAAAACAAAGAAAGAACATTGATGCTTTTATCTCAAAAACAAAAACAGAAGGAAAAAAAAACGTAAAAAACGGACCTCTTTCTCCCCACGCTCGGTCGGAGAGAGAGAGGAAGGGGGGGTGTGCACTGCCTGTTCTCGCGGGAAGAGAGAAGACTCATTCTCATTTTGCACATCTGGAGCGTAGAGGGACGACCGCGAGCTTGTACAAATCGGAAACGGATCTTCCCACGTTCTCGCAAAATATTCATTCTCATTTTGCATACAAGGAACTATTGTCGGGCGGGGGGGAGAGGGG